ATCTTATTTGTAAAATTACATTTTTACCAATTAAGAGTGAGTTCCACTTCCTGAAATTTCCTTTATAGGACACATTATGGGGAATTGGCCTGAAATTGTATAGGATCCTACGGGACATTTGTCCCAGATAGGAATCTAATAAGACGTCCGATAGAATTCTTCTACAATTATGTAGGATTCCTATAGAGCCCTATAAGACGTCCTTTAGGAAATTTTATTATTAAAAGACAGGGGAAACAAAAATCGGTTTATTTCTTCCGAAAAATGGTTGCATAAGAAGTGTTGCCAACACGGCAAAAATTATATATATTATTATTATTATTAAGTTATTAATTTCATCTTTATTTCCACGATGTTCTTATGTTTGTTCAGATTGTGTTAGATGAGGAACTACTAACACTGCTCAATATTGGGTAACATGTGCTCAATTATTCATATGGTCAGTTGTAAAAAAAGCGATGTCGCAAGCAGTGCTCTGGTCGGTCATTTATTACTTACTGGCAGAGTAAATGTATGGTTTGATATTACATGTAGCTTGTGTATAAGTTTATTTATTATAGTATAATTTAGATGTTACTTTATTGAGATGTATCTTTGTGTGGTTAAAATTTTGATTACAGTTCGCGTTTTTCATAATTAGAATCATCTTTGAAGGCCTATTGGCATTGCGTTTATCAAAGTGTATGTTGTTATGGGTGTGGCATTTTCATGAACAATGCGTACTAGTATTTTTACGTTATTAATAAATTGCAGTAACAGCTCAGATGGTCATGACCGTCTCTTGGCAGCCAGTTGGCAGCGGATAACGAGAATGGATATTGTGTTTGCAATTAAATAACCAGTGAAGTATAACTTGTGTGAATATTGATTTTTTAATATAAGAACACATAATTTAAGCTAGACCAATTTAGTAGATTTATTAAGTATACTGAGTAGAACGTTTAATTTAGTTTGTTTTATTTCTCTTAGTGTTTCACTGTATTATTTTCTTTTTCTCTAGTTTTCTCTAGTTCAGTACAGGTTGGCTGAGATCAGTTCCTTTTAACTCAGTTGCCAGTAACGGTTCAGTACACTGCGTGAATAGACAGCATTTAAATATCCAACGATGATTCTTCGTCTTTCTTACTCGTGGTCCGCTACAAGGAGGAAAACAAGAACATCTACGTTGTATTCATATGAGATTTCCAAATACATTCAGTGTATGTGATAATAAGACAGGATATAAATTTGGAGCTTTTTGGTGACCTAAAAGAGTTGGCAACTTGATGACGTGGAGAAATGAAAGAAGAGTCCATTTCCCTTGAATATTCCTCTATATGAACGATCTATCGGCGAACTACGAACGATTTTAAAGTATAAAATTACAGACGTATCTTTATAGATATTAAAATTTATTGGACAACAGTTTTTTCAAGAAATTCAAACGATCATGTGTCTTGCCGCAAAAAGAGCTCTTGACAGTCCACACGAGAAGCGGACCCTAAAGCGTGCGCGAGTTCCTTTCCGTCGTCTGCGCAGCAGGCAAAAGAGGTCGCCACCTGTTCTAAAAGAGGACATCCAAGTGAAAGACGTCTGTTTAGGGACTAAATTTGATTTGAGGACCAGAATAGAGCCGTGATAGACGTATAGCTCCGAGCTAAAAGATGAAGCACAGATTTCTAGGAAGTTGCAAAAATAAGTGGTTTCACGAACGTGAGTCTTTTCCTTTCCTTGAATATCGGATTAGCAGTGACTTTGTGACAAAGGTAATTAAAGGTACATACGAACCGAGCATCGTTGGAGCGTGGATTCCCAGTAACACATGTAAACCACTTCTACTAGATTCTTATATGACTCAAATAAATTCGACATGCCTAGGGATAAACTGAATAGATCACTCGATCTGCCATAAAAAGACCTTCAGACTGCTCCTTTCTTTAAATTTTTGGTTGTAAATTTAACCTACTTCCGTGACCTATTTTCCTGCCCCATTGACATACAGCTTAGAATGCCAGCAGAAAAATCTGTTCAAACATCATTTACGGGTGAAATTATACAATGCCTTTTGGTAATTCTCTTAGTTATACTACTTGAAACTATATGCTGGCATTTGGTTGGTTTTTGTGACAAAAAATTGACTTTGTATGCATCTTTAATGTAACCGTTATCATCAGTAGCGAGAGGTAATACAGAAGTATCGTCTTAAAATTCACTTTCCAACATAAGTTTATTCACACGCTGCAACCTGTACGACTACATATGTTATACCTCCGCACATCATGCAAATCATTGTGACGTCACATGCCCCCCGCAGGAGGGGGGGGCACGCCCGTCTATAGGCACATCTTAATTTGAAACAAATTTTTTAAACGCCACATTTTGTCATAAGCTGACGTAAAACTTATCTGCGTAAATACATTGTAACATAAATTTGAATTTTTCAACATCGACATTAAATATAATAGCTTAAATTCTAAGATATAAATTCGCTTAACATGAAACATAAATTAAAATATACAGAACAGAAAGAAACAAAAACGCATGGCAATTTATGATATACGTGGATGCTATGCTGTTATTTTCTCTAGAAAGGTCGTTATCCATTATAACACAAGTGTCCGTCCGTCGACTATTTGGCGATTGGGATGTACATGTACAACAAGGTAAACTCGTTAGAGAATCAAGGACGCAGTGACACTCTTAGGATCGGAAATTTCATCCTCTGCCCCCCCCCCCCCCCAACCACCACCAAGCCCCATAAGCATAACCATGCTGCGTATGTGTATAGTTCCAAATATATGCTGTAAATACTGTGTATATGAACTTAAAATAGTCAGAGAACTATAGAGAATTTACTTTCTTCTATGAATTGAAAGTTTTGATACACTTATAACACAGTACTCTATTTGCTTAGAAAACTGCAAAGGGAGTTATAATATTTTTATTTCTTTGCATCAAAATAAATGCATGAATTGTAAATTGAAAGAATAAAATTATATTCAGATTTGTTCTAAATTTAGATGTTGCAAAGCATGAAATCTTTGACATTGGCAATGTGAATGACATGCCTGAGTTTTTATGCACATATATTTACATTTTTAGATAGAAGAAGTGACAGAAAATGATTCTGTTGTGACATCAGTTGCTCTTAAAGGTCAGAAGAAATAAATGATACACCAAATATAAATTACTTTTAAAAAGGTTGGATTTTTGGTTATATGTTTAAATTTCTTCAGTGTGAACGGTGTTTATGGTTGGCAAGATATAATCTTGTAGACATTTGCCATAGAAATACATGTAAATCGACCTACATTTTCTAATTTTAGGTCTGCCGGTCAGTCAAGGTGTGGTCCGGGGGACAGCTAGGGTGGTCACCTCTCTGCAGGAAGCAAGCCAAATTCAGGTAGGGGTTATCACACTGGTACTAAGTTCCATTTTGGGGAGCAGTTTTATTCATTCTTTTCTTCCCTTTATTTAAAAAAATTCAATTATATTTCTTCTCTTTTAAAGGGAGAGTATTGAAGTAAAAGAGAATATCAAATACTCTTTTTGGTAAGAAATGCTTTTGAAAATTGGACATATTTTTTGTATGCCCTGTGATCTTTTTTTTCCATTCAAAATTCCTTAGGAAGAAAAAATTACTTTGACACAAATAGGACGTTTTTATTACAATTTCTGTTCATTTGACAATTTAGTAAGATATGTCCTTTTTTTCAGCCTGGTGACATCCTGATAGTGCCCTACACAGATGTGGGATGGTCTCCTTACTTCCCACTTATATCAGGACTGGTAACTGAACTGGGAGGACTCCTTTCACATGGTATGCACCCACATGGGGTGCGTTTCCAGTTCACTGGGGACAGCTTATCTTAGCACTGAGCTGTCTCGATCAGCAGACTGTGTTGGATGTTATTGTTTTTGATGGGGAAAATTGTGTATTTTACAGACACTATTTTTTTTCAAGTCATATATCTTTTTAAGTATTGAGAGTTAACAACAAAATTGAAAAGCAGGTTACTATACATTCTTTTCTATACAGTAAAAGCACCATATATACTACATAGAAATAATTATAATATTTGGAATCCAAATTCCAATTCCAATTCCAAAATTGGTAATTATTCCCCATTGGAAAGATCGAATCATTACCATCCCTTATTCTTTGTATTATATTGCTCAAAGCCATTGTAATTGAGTTTACTGGCAGTGCCCACTGAAATCAAAATTCTTGTAACACCACCAAACTGTAAGTTTCTTGATTTCCATATATGATACCTACAAAGAAAACTTCACATTTGGTTGTCTCAGAACTCTATTAATATTCTTTCCTTCACAAATAATATTTGCATTTCCCAGGAGCTGTGGTTGCCAGAGAATATGGTCTTCCGTGTGTGGTCAACATTCCAAAAGCCACTCATCTTTTTGCCATAGGTAAAGAAACTGATGCATTGTGCCATTCCTTTTGTCATTGTGAATTGACATTGTAAATAGGAGACACTCTTCTCATTGTACATCGGTCATCTCTATAGAGTTTTAACCAATTTTTGCTGTTTGATTTCAAGAAAACTGATCTGTATGCGCACCTTTTCATTCCGTTTTAATAAATAGTCAACAACATTCTCAACTCATAAATGAAAATAAATTAAGCGGATTTTCCTGTTTTTTAGATGGATGTAATAATGGGGGTTTGACTGCAAGTTTTATTTCAGTTTAAATCAGTTAAAATCATGACTATTTTCGATATACCAGTTTTTAGCATTTATTTTTTTATCTATTTATTTTATTTATTTATTTATTTTTCATTTTTGGCCTTCTTTGATGTGTTATGGTCATGTTGAATTTCTGTTCTATTACCCAGGATTGTCACTGTTTCAGGTGATCAAGTTGTATTGAATGGTACTAACGGGACTCTGGAAAAAGTGGAGTAGATGTTTGAAACAAGTTGAAAGAAACCTGTCCTTTCAATTAGGAATTATAAACTTGGGCCAAAAACTGCCTATATACTAAAAAACTTCATTCCTTTGATTCAAGAGTTTATACCATTGATTATTATTATTTTTATTATTGACCTAGTATTGATTTATCATTTAAGTATTTTTACAGAAGATTTTAGAACGGCCTTATGAACAATATCATCGAACAAAGTCTAAAAATCTCAATTACTTTTTAATCTTGCCTTAGATTTTGACCCACTTAGATCAGGCTAACCCTAACCATTATAACTAAATGGAGGGCGAACTTTCTGTTGCGCGAACCCTCAGTTTCGTTACACCGGTTTAACAAGAAGTAATGTCCCTATAGGGTATCCCCTATAGATATATGTACATGTATGTTGATAAATGTCAACAATTGATTACAGAGCTAGAACTCTGACTGCAAGGACAGAGAGCAGGCTGTAGAAAACTTTAAAGAAAAAAATTGTCTGTTGCTGTAAACGGGAAGAAATTGTTGGCTTGAAGACGCTGGGTAATTTTTGGTCTTTTTAAGGTCCGTGTCCGCGTAGGACAGTTTAATAAATTTAATTAATTTACTAAATGATTCAAATACACATGCGCATACTCTGTACAAATAGTGAATAGACAGAAATATCTGTAAAAATCTGGTAAAAAAACAAGAAAGAGAGCAACGAACACAAGCCTTTATGCCCTGGCTATTTGACCTGAATACTTTCCCCTCGGATTGGAGCTGATGTATATGTCAATCACATCAGCTCCAATCCGAGGGGGAAGTATCTTACCGATTTAACACAACGTTTTTAAAAATGAAGCGACGAGAATATTTACTAATTCTTATATTGTGTCATATACAAGCCAGTTTTTGGTTTTCAGGTTATTGCGATTTTTTACAACTCTCATTCTTAAAAGAAATACAAAATTTAGAATGTCTGGGTTGATGTCTTTTAAAACAAAAGGCTAATATCAGTTACGTCCATCTTTATTATCTAATTTCAACCGAGATGAATATTTCATTTTTATACAGAAGTAGCTGTTATATACTAGTACTAAATCGGCAATATATTTTTTAGCTCGCTAAAAGTAATACCAAATGGCAAAACTACTATGAAAAAATGTGTCAATAATTAGAATTGCCGGGATTTTTAAATATTGTTAAGATTTCAACTTAGGCTATGAAAGGTGAAAGTTAGATGCTTGATTGGCCTTTACAGTCCAAACTTAATCAAATACGAATTCAAACGTAATCAAATACGATGGACTTCAGTAGTAAAGGTAGCCCGATTAACAACACTTCGGGTCAGCGCAGTAGTGGACAGTGAACGTGGCCCTGCATCCTTTGTCTACCCAGATATTGTTGCCAAGGAAACCAAAGCTTTTGTTGTATTCACAGCTGGAAACAGAGTGCTTCGTGGTCACATACATGGAAGTAACGACTCCACTGATTGGACATGTGGCGTATGTGTAACCATGGCTGCTACAAGTGGCACTTGCTGTAAAAATAGTGATTGTAATTTTAATTTGATGGGATAAAGTTTGGTACTTTTTGGTACTTTAGGCAGATGTTCAATTTTTTTTTCAACGATACGAAAGGTAAAATTTTGTTTATTGAAAAAAATTAAAATTAGGAACTGTCTTAACTGTGTTAAACCAGAATTTGATTAAAAAAAAAATAAACGGTCCCCGCACTCTGTGACAAATATCAATACAAAACGAAGATTATGAGTAACATTTGTGGTACCTTTCTATATAGCATGTTTCAAGAGAGAAAGTGTTATCCCTTTTGTGATATTCTGTAAATTTGAAAGATCGAAAAAAAAAAGAAACATCGACAGTTGGTAAGGCCTAAAAAAAAAAAAAAAAAAAAAAAAACTGGACACTAACAGATAAGCCGTTTCTGAATTTTTCTTGATATAATAGGCACTGGCACATAAATAATAAATGAAATGCAACTTACTCGTTCTCATATTTTGACAGTCGAAGTTGACGTAGAAGCGGGCTCTGCAGCCGTGGTTTACCCACAGATTACAGCCATATAAAGCGAACGAGTTGCCCATATTGCAGTCGGAGACTGACCTCTTCTTCATCACGCTGGCTGAAATACCTCGGACCCCCGTACAACAGGAATTGTATTGGTAATTATTGCTGTCACAGTCGAAGATCCCGGTAACGGCTAGGAATAGAAAACAACAAAACTATTTATTAAATCTTCGTTGTGCTATATTTGTTAATACAATAGAAGTACGCGCATTTTGATCCTGGCGTTTTGTAAAAAAAGAAAAAAAAAAGATATTACTGCAAATTTGAATGAAGAACATTTTAAGAACGCTCCATTTTTTAAAACAAATATTAAAACAAATATAGCCATGAAAACGTACTAATATTTTATCATTAAAAGTATTAGCTTTACAAATGACTCTACTGAAACTGATCTTTTCTTGCAAACATTCATTAATGCAATGTGAAGAATGTGCGCATTTGAGAAAGTTTGACTATTGTATTCTAACATATCAGCAAAGCATTAAGTGAACAAATCGTTCCCTCGCGATTAAGAGAAAAACTTTTCTCAGTCTCTTATTTTTACCTTCGCTGGTACCCCACACAGCAATCAAGCAAAGAAAAATGGCAACGGGCATTTGGCCTTGCATCTTCTTGCCTTCTTCAATATTTACTCTTAGAGCAAAGAACCGTCGTCTCAGATCTTGGTCGTGATCTTGAATGTACAGTTCTGTATAGTTGACGCGACTTATATTCACTTTGGTACGGTAAATTAAAATGCAAACCGGTGGTTAATTAGTTAATCAGCAGGCCAGGCATCATTTCTGTCAGGAACTAATTATCAAGGATCTAAATGTTTATGAAAACAACATTTTCCGTTGCGGTTAAGAAAATGTGTTATCAGTCACGTTTCACCTTGTGAGATTAAGAAAAATATTTTGAACTTTTTTTCTCAACATATATTCAGCATTGTATAATCAATCTCAATTATTCCTTTACATTAATTTTACAATATGGCTTCCGTGTCAACATTTGTAACACCATTTCATGAAATGTAGATATTAGAATCTAAACTTAATCTTTCCTTTATAAACTTCAACTTTTTTGGATTATAAACTCTCCTTAAAATATCCTGTAACAAGCATTTTTAAAATTTTCTTTTTTCAAAATAAAATATTTGTTTTTAAATATTTATATTTTAAGCCTTTACATTTTTTTTCGTAAGCATTAACACGACCGAAGGACGCCTGCCTTAAGCAATAATTTAGCATGAAAAACATGTACATAAAATATTTTTGATGAAAACAAAAAACCACACAAACATGAAGGCGTACCATTGATCTCATTTCTACATGAATATAAACGTATTTTAAAACTTAATTGCAATTCAAGTGTTACGGTTCTAATTTTGAGTGATAAATATTCATTTCATGTCACACTATCGTGATCTTTTCGCAATCATTAGCTCAAAAACCTGTCAATAAAACTTTTTTGCTGAAAACCACACAAAGGCGAAAGTTTTAGGCACAGGTGTTTAATATTAATTTTTACGCAAATTAGGAACCAGCACAAATAAAAAACAACCCGGGTTGGTACAGGATGATACCCGTAAGCACATTTCAAGTGATATCGTTTCAATTGTAGGTTATGCAGTTACCTTAGCGAGGACACTTTTCTTTAAAAATGCAGAAGGATGGTTTACACATACATTCATTATATAACAGAAAAAAAGTTGTTTTTGTTGAGTTCTATAATTTTCCTCCCACGGCAGATTCCCTACACTCCGATGCTATCTGCATCTCTTTTACAACATGATCTCCTGTAAGTTCTAATGACACCTTTCCTGACACCACAATAAAAGAAAAAAAGAAAGAAATACATAAAATATCGAATCAAATCTTCAGATTCATAAATATAACATGTAAACATAGGTATACTGCACATGTTTAAAATCAAGCTATCAAATTATAGATAAGACATTTCACTCGAGTTGTTTTGTTTTTATTTGCAGTAGTCCGTCGCTGCGTTCAAATATATGTAAATTGGTATTAAACTCTAGAATCAACAGAGAATCTCGGTTAGTAAATAAAATAACACGTACATGTTTGAAAAAAGGGTATAAAAAGCTTGAACCCACTACGAATTATACAGTTTAAGTCCAAGGTAATGCAATCACCATAGCGATGACTCCCTAATGCAGGGGGGTAGGCGTAACATACCGTAGTTCCTGGGATAAGAAGCAGGCCCGTAGCCANAACTGTTATATACTAGTACTAAATCGGCAGTATATTTTAAGCTCGTTAAAAGTAAAACCAAATAGCAAAACTACTATCAAGAGATGTGCCAATAATGAGAATTTCCTGTTTTTTTTTTTTTTTTTTTTTAAAGATTTCAACTTGCGGCTAATGAAAGGTGAAAGTTAGATGCTCGACTGGCCTTTACAGTCCAAACTTAATCAAATACGAATTCAAACGTAATCAAATACGATGGACTTCAGTACTAAAGGTAGACTGATTAACAACACCTCGAGTCAGCGCAGTAGTGGACAGCGAACGTGGCCTTGCATCCCTTGTCTACCCAGATCTTGTTGCCAAGGAAACCAAAGCTTGTGTTGTAGACACAGCTGGCACTGGAGTGCTTCGTGACCACATACATGGATGTAACGACTCCACTGATTGGGCACTGGGCGTATTGGTCACTATAGCTACTACAAGTGGAACTTACTGTAAAAAAGTGATTCTAATTTTAATTTGATGGGATAAAGTTTGGTACATCTTGGTACATTAGGCAGATGTTTTAACAATATTTAAAAATATTTTTCAGAAGCGGAAGGAGAAAATTATGTTTATTGAAAAAATAAAATATAATTAGGAACTGTCATAAATGTGTTAAACCAGACTTTGATTTTTAAAAAAATAAAAGGTCCCCGCACTCTTTGACAAATAATAAAAAAAGAAGATACTGAGTACCATTTGTGGTATTTTTCTAACAAGCATGTTACAAGAGAGAAAGTGTTATCCTTTTGTGACATCTTGTACATTTGAAAAAAAAAAACATCGACACATGGTAAGGCCTAAAAGAAAAAAAAAAAACCTGGAAAATAGCACATAAGCCGTTTCTGATTTTTTCTTGATATAACAGGCACTGGCACATAAATTATAAATGAAATGCAACTTACTCGTTCTCATACTTTGACAGTCGAAGTTGACGTAGAAGCGGGCTCTGCAACCGTGGTATACCCACAGATTACAGCCATATAAAGCGAACGAGTTGCCCATATTGCACTCGGCGCTTGACCTCTTTGTCATCACGCTGGCTGAAATACCTCGGACTCCCGTGCAACAGGAATTGTATTGGTAATCATTGCTGTCACAGTCGAAGATCCCGGTTACGGCTAGGAATAGAAAACAACAAAAATATTTATTAAATCTTTGTTGTGTTATACTTGTTAATACAATAGAAGTACGCGCATTTTGATGCTGGCGTTTTGTAAAAAAATTTTAAAAAAGATATTACTGCAAATTTGACTGAAGAACATTTTAAGAACGCTTCATTTTTAAAAATTAATAGAAAAATTAATATGGTCAGGAAAACGTACTAATATTTTATCATTAAAAGCGTTAGCTTTACAAATGACTCTACTGAAACTGATCTTTTCTTGGAAACATTCATTAATGCGATGTAAAAAATGTGCGCATTTGAGAAAGTTTGACAATTGTATTCTAACATTAGCAAAGCATTAAGTAAACAAATCGTTCCCTCGCGATTAAGAGAAAAACTCTTCTCAGCCTCTTATTTTTACCTTCGCTGGAACCCCATACAGCTATCAAGCAAAGAAAAATGGCAACGGGCATTTGGCCTTGCATCTTCTTCCCTTCTTCAATATTTACTCTTAGAGCAAAGAACCGTCGTCTCAGATCTTGGTCGTGATCTTGAATGTACAGTTCTGAATAGTTGACGCGACTTCTATTCACTTTGGAAAGGTAAATTAAAATGCAAACCGGTGATTAATTAGTTAATCAGCAGGCCAGGCATCATTTCTGTCAGGAACTAATTATCAAGGATCTAAATGTTTATGAAAACAACATTTTCCGTTGCGGTTAAGAAAATGTATTATCAGTCACGTTTCACCTTGTGAGATTAAGGAAAATATTTTGAACTTTTTTCTCAACATATTCAGCATTGTATAATCAATCTCAATTATTCTTTTACATTAATTTTACAATATGGCTTCCGTGTCAACATTTGTAACACCATTTCATGAAATGTAGATATTAGAATCTAAACTTAATTTTTCCTTTATAAACTTCAACTTTGTTGGATTATAAACTCTCCTTAAAATATCCTGTAACAAGCATTTTTAAAGTTTTCTTTTTTCAAAATAAAATATTTGTTTTTAAATATTTATATTTTAAGTCTTTACATTTTTTTCATAAGCATTAACACGACCGAAAGACGTCTGCCTTAAGCAATTCTTTAGCATGAAAAACATGTACATAAAATACTTTTGAAGAAAACTAAAAACCACACAAACATGAAGGCGTACCATTGGTCTCATTTCTACACGAATATAAACGTATTTTAAAACTTAATTGCAATTCAAGTGTTACGGTTCTAATTTTGAGTGATAAATATTCATTTCATGTCACACTATCGTGATCTTTTCGCAATCATTAGCTCAAAAACCTGTCAATAAAACTTTTTTGCTGAAAACCACACAAAGGCGAAAGTTTTAGGCACAGGTGTGTTAATATAAATTTTCCGCAAATTAAGAACCTGCACAAATAAAAAACAACCCGGGATAGTACAGGATGATACCCGTAAGCACATTTCAAGTGATATCGTTTCAATTGTACGTTATGCAGTTACCTTAGCGAGGACACTTTTCTTTAAAAATGCAGAAGGATGGTTTACACATACATTCATTATATAACAGAAAAAAAGTTGTTTTTGTTGAGTTCTATAATTTTCCTCCCACGGCAGATTCCCTACACGCCGATGCTATCTGCATCGTTTTTACAACACGATCTCCTGTAAGTTCTAATGACTCCTTTCCTGACACCACAATAAAAGAAAAAAAGAAAGAAATACATAAAATATCGAATCAAATCTTCAGATTCATAAATATAACATGTAAACATAGGTACACTGCACATGTTTAAAATCAAGCTATCAAATTATAAATAGGACATTTCACTCAAGTTGTTTCGTTTTTATTTGCAGTAGTCCTACACTGCGTTCAAATATATGAAAATTGGTATAAAACTCTAGAATCAACAGAGAATCTCGGTCACCTATTAATACATAAAATAACATATAAATGTTTGAAAAAAGGGGTATAAAAAGCTTGAACCCACTACGAATTATACAGTTTAAATCCAAGGATATGCAATCACCATAGCAATGACTCCCTAATGCAGGGGGGTAGGCGTAACATACCGTAGTTCCTGGGATAAGAAGCAGGCCCGTAGCCAGGGGGGTTCGAAAGAACCCCCCTTTTCGCTGGAAAAAGGTCCACTCTGGGTAAAATTTGACCTAGGTACATGGAAATTATATGGTAAAAGGTCCACTTTTTCAGGAAAAGAACCCCCCCCCCCTTTGGAATTGCTGGCTACGGCCCTGAGAAGAAAGAAATAAGTTGTCACTGTAAACGAGTTAAAAACAGGTAAATACGAGATATCCATCTTCCCCTCATCAATAAAGCAGATTGATCGATTGATCCTTACTTGGAGTGATAATCGTAACCCTGGAAGGCAGGCGCGCGCGAAGTGTGTGTGCGTGTGTGTGTGGGGGGGGGGGGAGGGGGCAACAAGAATTATATTTTAGTGAATTTATTCAAAACAGCATCTGTTGATGAACGCAGTGAAAAATAATGAAATGAATTACATGGTTGCAGAAATGATGTGAACAAGTGAAAGATATATTGAAAACAATGCATGTTTTCCTAGGCCTGTAATACCTGTATCATCTTGTTACTTGATTCGTAAGCGGACGTCTTTACATAGGCCACTGTTAGGAGACAGGCTCTTTATTTATCTCACATACCAACATTTCTCTTCATTTCTTTCCTGTCCCATCACACTAAAAAGTAATTTCCTCCGCATTCCTCTCTAATATATGTTTGCAATACGCGCCTCAACGAATTTGAAGTTTGGGCGAAATTTTCAAACTTCTGAATAAGAAAGTAAGCTGCCACGCAATCGAAAACCGCTGTAAGTTTTTCAACGATTGCGATGTATAAATCGGTAGAAAGAGGATGATTGAATTTCTATGTTACAAAGGATCATATAGTTTTATCATCTGACAGGTATTACAAACAACTAAGCACAAAGCACGTATTAGTAACTACATACATCATTACTTTATTATCCGCTATTCTAACTTATGATATTTTTGTGAAATATAGGCCCAAACCGTCAAGTAGAAATTGAGCTCATATGTATCGAAACTTGTTATTTCACTTTATTTATTTATTTATTTATTTATTTATTTATTTATTTATTTATTTATTTATTTATTGCAAATGAACTAATTTGTTCGTCACATTGCCTTTTTGGGAACTTTTAAGTTGACTTGTGAAAGTGGAGCAATGTGCAGTATTACCAAGGCCATCTTTAAAAAAATCTCTGTCGACCCCTGGTTTGTTCACATCCATACTTCATTAGTAAACGAAATTGCGCTACGAAGAACGAACTAAACCTTTAGTTCATCGTAGTGGTGTTATATCTTATTTGTAAAATTACATTTTTACCAATTAAGAGTGAGTTCTACTTCCTGAAATTTCCTTTATAGGACACATTATGGGAAATTGGCCCGAAATTGTATAGGATCCTACGGGACATATGCCCCAGATAGCAATCTGATAAGACGTCCGATAGAATTCTTCTAGAGTTATGTAGGATTCCTATGGAGCCCTATAGGACGTCCTTTAGGAAATTTTATTATTAAAAGACAGGGGAAACAAAAATCGGTTTATTTCTTCCGAAAAATGGTTGCATAAGGAGTGTTGCCAACACGGCAAAAATTATATATAGGCCTATTATTATTATTAAGTTATTAATTTCATCTTTATTTCCACGATGTTCTTATGTTTGTTCAGATTGTGTTAGATGAGGAACTACTAACACTGCTCAATTAGGTAACATGTGTTCAATAATTCATATGGTCAATTGTAAAAAAGGCGATGTCGCACGTGCTCTGGTCGGTCATTTATTACTTACTGGCAGAGTAAAGGTATGGTTTGATATTACATGTAGCTTGTGTATAAGTTTATTTATTATAGTATAATTTAGATGTTACTTTATTGAGATGTATCTTTGTGTGATTTAAATTTTGATTACAGTTCGCGTTTTTCATAATTAGAATCAGCTTTGAAGGCCTATTGGCATTGCGTTTATGAAAGTGTATGTTGTTATGGGTGTGGCATTTTCATGAACAGTGCGTACAAGTATTTTTATGTTATTAATAAATTGCAGTAACAGCTCAGATGGTCATGACCGGCTCTGGGCAGCCAGTTGACAGCGGATAACGGAATGGATATTGTGTTTGCAATTAAATAACTAGTGAAGTATAACTTGTGTAAATATTGATTTTTTAATATAAGAACACATAATTTAAGCTAGACCAATTTAGTAGATTTATTTAGTATATTTAGTAGTACGTATCATTTGGTTTGTTACATTTCTCTTAGTGTATCAATGTATATTTTCTTTTTCAGTTCATTTCAACTCAGCTCAGTAACCAGTAATGGTTCAGCACACTGCGTGAATAGACAGCATTTAAATATCCAACGATGACTCTTCGTCTTTCTTACTCGTGGTCCGCTACAAGGAGGAAAACAAAAACATCTACGTTGTATTCGTATGAGATTTCCAAATACATGCAGTGTGTGTGATAATAAGGCAGGATATAAATTTGAGAGATTTTTGGTGACTTAAAAGAGTTGACAACTTGATGCCATAGAGAAATGAAAGAAGAGTCCATTAAGCCCTTGAATATTCCTCTATATGAACGATCTATCGGCGAACTACGAACGATTTTAAAGTATAAAATTACAGACGCATCTTTATAGATATTAAAATTTATTGGACAACAGTTTTTCGAGAAATTCAAACGATTCTGTGCCTTGCCGCAAAATGAGCTTTTGACAGTCCACACGAGAAGCGGACCCAAAAGCTCGCGCGAGCTCTTTTCCGTCGTCTGCACAGCAGGCAAAAGAGGTCGCCACCTGTTCTAAAAGAGGACATCCAAGTGAAAAACGTCTGTTTAGGATCCAAATCTGATTTGAGGACCAGACTAGAGCAGTGAAAGACGTCTAGCTCCAGGCTAAAAGATGAATCACAAGTTTCTAAGAAGTTGCAAAAATAAGTGGTTTCACGTACGTGAGTCTTTTCCTTTCCTTGAATATCGGATTAGCAGTGGTAACTTTTACATTAGCGTCGACTTTGTGACAAAGATAATTAACGCAACCGTTATGATCAATAGCGAGAGGTAATACAGAAGTCTCGTCTTAAAATTTACTTTCCAACATAACTTTATTCACACGCTGCAACCCATACGACTACATTTGTTATACCTCTGCACATCATGCAAATCATTATGTGACGTCACATGCCCCCCCCCCCCGGGTAGGAGGGGGACATGCCTGTCTATAGGCACATCAATAGGCACATCAATTTGAAATGAATTTTTAAACGCCACATTTTGTCATAAGCTGACCTAAAACTTATCTGCGTAAAAACATTGTAACATAAATTTGAATTTTTCAACATCGACGTTAAATATAATAGCTTAATTAAAATCTAAAATATAAATCTGCTTAACATGAAACAGCGATAATATATACAGAACAGAAAAGAAACAAAAACTTATTGCAATTTATGATATACGTGGATGCTATGCTTTTTTTCTCTAGAAAGGTCGTTATCCATTATAACACAAGCGTCCGTCCGTCGACTATTT